CAATATCCAGATGAGTGTCATTGTTAAAATCACCAACAGCTACATAGATTGGTGCAGAGCCAGTTGAACATGCTGTTTGATTTGCAAAGGAGCCATTGCCATATCCGAGAAGTACACTTATAGTGTTGTCATCACAATTAGCAACGACAATATCTAGTCGGGTGTCATTATTAAAGTCACCAGCAGCTATAGATATAGGATTAATACCAGTTGAATATGTATCTTGATCTGCAAAAGAACCATTGCCATATCCGAGAAGGACACTTATAGTGTTATCACCACTATTAGCGACAACGATATCCAATACGGTGTCGTTATTGAAGTCACCAACAGCCACAGACTGTGGGAAAGAGCCAGTTCGATATGTCTTTTGATTTGCAAAAGAGCCATTTCCATATCCAAGAAGGACACTGACAGTGTTGTCTTCATAATTAGCGATGACGATATCCAGTAGGGTGTCGTTATTAAAATCATACACAGCTACAGAGATAGGGCTAGAGCCAGTTGAATATTTCTTTTGATTTGCAAAAGAGCCATTGCCATATCCAAGATGGACACTTACAGTCTTGTTACCATAATTAGCGACGACGATATCCAGATGGGTGTCGTTATTAAAATCACCAACAGCTACAGAATATGGCGCAGTGCCAGTTGAATATGTCGTTTGAATGGGAAAAAACTCGTCATAACCAAGCATGATACCTATGGTGCTCGTATCATTGTTGATAAAGGCAATGTCTGAACGATTATCTCTGTTTAAATCACCTGTGGCAATGGAGATTGATGAAGAAGATCCAGTTGAATACATTTTGGGGCTTGCAAAGGTACCGTTGCCATATCCGACAAGTAAAGCTATATTATCAGTACCGTTATTGGTCACGACTAAATCCATTCGATTGTCGTTGTTGAAGTCACCAATGCCAATAGAATATGGAGATGCAGCACTGAGGGAATATGTCATTTGGCTCATAAAAGTTCCATTGCCGTGACCCAGAAGCACACCTACATTATTATTTCCATAGTTCGCGACGGCAATATCTAGTATGATGTCTTCGTTTAAATGGCCAACAACAAGCGAGTATGGATGGGAACTGGGCCCAGTTGAGAACGTAATTTGATTTGCAAAAGTGTTGTTACCAGTTCCAAACATTATACCGACGTTGCTGGTGCCATAATTAGCGATAGCAAGGTCCATCTGTTTGTCGTTGTTGAAATCGCCACTGACAACCGCAAGCGGAAAAGAATCATAACCCGCAGGATACGTGCTTGGCCTTGAAAAGCTGCCATTTTCATATCCGAAAAATATGCTTACACTGTGTGTGCCGTAGTTAGCAGTCACAATATCTAGTGCTGCGTCATTGTTAAGATCTCCTACATGGATCCAAACGGGGCGAGATGATGCAACTGAAAGCATTATTTGACTTGCAAAAGACCCATTTTGGAATTTAAGAAGTACACCAACGCTGTTTGTACCAAAATTTGCGATGGCAATATCCGACTGACGATCGTTGTCGAAATCACCAACAGCAACCATGCACGGAGCAGAGCCAGAACCGGTGAAATACTTGACTGGACTTGTTACAGTGCCATTGCCATATCCGAAATATATAGCTATATTGTCAGTAGCATAATTAGCAACAGCAATATCTAGCCAAGTATCATTGTTAAAGTCGCCCATGGCGACAGATCGTGGGTCATACTTATAGTCAATTGGATTTCGGGGCGTTGCTTTAAATTTAAGTTCACATTTTGGACCTACGTAACACAAGAATAAAGAAATAGAGACTGATCAGCTATTATGATTGAACTATCTCTAGTAGATTATATCAAATTCCTATAATTCCGATGATATTCTATTGAAATTTGTCGGACGACAGCAATCAGATCGAGATGGAAAGGGTGCGTGAGCTTTCGTCTCACCTCTTCCGAACATCCGGATATGTGACCGGATGTTCGGAATTAACTTTTTTTCATGTCCGGAGTTCGTAAAGAGTCGTGTCCAGGAGATCGTAATAGAATACAGGGAGATCGGAATGGTTTTACATGATGTTCGGAATACAGTTTTTCTTGTATATCTGATATAACACCGGGAGATCGCGATGAATAAGGTCAGATGTTCGGAATAATGCATTTTACAAAAAAAACAACCAGATAATCGGAATAACATTGACCGGAACTTCGTAAAAAAAGATTCACTGGGAGATCGTAACGGATATAAAGACTTTTATTTCTGTTTTTCTATACAAGAATAGGGTTCCTTTATTTAGCACATTCATAATTATATCAGGAGACATTTTCGTCTTTCAATGTATTCATACAATTGGTAGGTGGCGGTAGCTTCTGTACAAATGATACACTAAATAGTGTATGTACCATATGATCTGTGATCTGGCGATTCTAAGGAAAAATGCACTTTGATATACACACCACTTTGATTGGATAAATTTTTCATAGAAAATTCTCCTTTTTTTTCTATTTATGGTTCTGAAGCTCTTTTTGGGTGAATCTCGCCCGTTTTTCAGTAAAATTCGAGCTTTCTTTATAGGTAGCGCCACATGTTTTCAAATTTTCTGATTTTTCACGAGAGTAATTGAGATTCACCCAAAAAGACCTTCAGACTCATAAATAGAAAAAACAGGAGAATTTTCTGCCAAAAATTTATCCAATCAAAGTAGTGTGTATGTTAAAGTGCATTTCTTCTTAGAATCACGAGACCACGGTTCAATAGTCTTTTCGTTCAGATATGATTGGCTATACAAGTGATTCAGTATTGAAGATAAACCAGGCTAAGTTCTCATAAAGAAGTGAAGATTATAGACTACAAAAATATTCTATCACAAAGAAGAAAGTGTACTTTGCTGTTATTTCTTATTTCTAGATAAGAATTCAGGTGAATAGAATCTTTTTCCTCGTTTGAATCTACATTTACTTTAATTTCAAATATTCTTAATGGTTATCACTCGTAGTCAAAGTTCAGTTGCTACATCAACAGCAGCAGCTTTAAGATCTACATATAAAATAAGCAAACAACCAGAATCATCAACTCGTAGTCGTCCAGTTAATAAAACGTCAAAAAGATCACCATCACCTTCACCTCCTAATCCTATTCATCATTCTTGTTCAAAATTATCTAAGAAAATCTTACGTAATAATAATGTTAGTAATACTATATCATTTACGTAAGTGTTCTTCTATGCGTTCGTCCACTATTTTCCAATAGAAAATAGTCAAAATGATTTGTTTGTTTATTTTTCTATTTTTTGCTGTTAGAGGAAGAAAACATGATGATGTTTATTCGTACTAGACTTATGAATAAAATTTCTTTTTTTTCTTTAAAAAAACTTGATATTCGTAAGCGAAAACATTTAAGGAATTAGTGAGACTATCTAACACGAGAATTACAATGGTAAAAAGAACAGCAATCTTGACTGCTTGAGTTCATCAAGACGTTCTTTATCTACCATCTTAGACTGTAAGATAAAAGTGTCACTTCACATTCTCTCAAAAGTAACTCTCAACATGATTACGAACATCCGGCCATTTTCATTCCGAACACCCTGTAGTTTTTATTACGACCTTCATGTATTTGTCATTACGAACTCCTGCACATTTTCATTCCGATCTCCCGGTAAAATTTCGCTGTTTTTTTCACAAAAAAACGCCATTACGAACTCCTGACAACATGTTGTTCCGAACATCCTGTTTTTTGTTATATTTTATCGACTTTTTCATTACGAACATCATTCCGAACACCCTGTCTTTTTTCTTATGTCCGAAGATCGTAAAGGACTGTTTCACCTGGAGTTCGTAATAAAAAGTTGAGACGAAAGCTCCCTTTCCCGATGGAAACCAGTATTTTTCAACCGAACCTCGTTGAATCTCACGAAACTCATCATTCAGATTAATCATTGTACGCTCTCTTTCATTTCCTTGATAATTCGTTCACGAAGCGTATAGTGACTTTTAAATAGCAGATATCACAACTAATATTATTTAAGTAAGGATCATAGACTGATCCTAACTATATGACCAAAACCACTATCATCTCTATCTTACAGGTTCTTCCATGACATGACATGCCATCGGGCACAAATATATCGTAATGGCAAAAATTCTAAAGCATTTCGAAATGTTTTACATCGATAATTAACAGTAACTGTCAGGATAGAACAGGCTTTCCGCTTGTATCTGGGAATATACAACGGATAGTTCAACAGAGTTTTATTAATAGTATTTGCTTGACGAATTGAGCGATTATTCA